ATAAGGAAGCCTAAGACTGTCCACTGGCTTTACGTGCATTTGTTTAACAAATCCTAGAAGGCAAAACCCAGAACAAATGTATTATTGTTATGTGTCATTGAGTCACCTGCGACTCATAGCAACCCTGTGTACAACAGCCCTAAACCTTGCTCTATCCTGTGCCAATCTTATTGTCCCTGGTACACCCATCCCCATTTTCCCAGTCACTGAATCAATTCATCTCATCAAGGGTCTTCTTCTTTTGTGCTGTCCTTTCACTCTCCCAACAAATGGGTAGCATGTAGAAAAAGACCTCAAATGGGAGTGAAAGCTGGGAGAGGACATTTGGGAAGCAAGAATTAGAGTCCATCTAAAGCTTTTAGAAGGTTCTGCCTGGAAGAACAGAAATGTGCCTTTGAGAAGCCAGAGATGAGAAGATTCAAAATCCCAGGTGTTGTCATCCTCTGCCTACTCTGTGGATGCTGTGGTCCCTACAGGGAAGCACCCTGTAGGTTTTTGTACTGTGGTAGAGACCAGATTCCTGGAGTCACCCACTTGACTGCATGCCCAGGCCCTTCCTCCAGGGGCCGCTCTTGTGGTTCACTGGTAGCTTCTGCCCAGAGGTCCTGAGGCTCTTAAACCAGGGGGAGCGAGGGTTCTCCCCTGCACAACTCAGGAATGTGTTTCTCAGATGTGCAAGGCAGAATCAAACTCCATGACAATTATTCTTTTAATTATAGATCTGTGTATAGAGCCCATATGCTCTTATAGCAATTATGTGACAAGAATCAATAAATCATCACACATATTTGCCTTCACCTTGGTCCTTTTTTCCTCATTTTGAGGTAATTAAGAGAATTATTCTTGCATTAGTCTTGAAGTTGCCAGATAAAACACAGGATGCCTTCTAAGAAGAAACCAATATTTATGTCATGTTGTTGTTTTTGTTGATTAACTTCAACTTGAGCACGACTCATTGCGACCCTGTGAATAAAAGGCCTTGAGTCCCCTCTACAACTATTGACATTTATCAAAGTTCATAGTGTTTCCAGAATGTTGTTTAGGAAGTGGATGCTGCTCTTGCTTCCAAAACTGTCATAGTATGTTATTGTTGTTATGTGCCATTGAGTTGCCTACAGTGTACATAGCAATCCTAGGTACAGCAGCTCTGAACCCTTCCCTGTCCTGAGCCAGTCTCACTAATTCTAACATACCAACCCCCACTCCTCTAGTTACTGTGTCAATCCATCTCATCTGGGATCTTCCTCTCCTGCGCTGTCCATCCACCCTTCTGAACATGATGCTCTTCTCCAAGGACCAGTCTCTCCTGGCCACAAGGCCAAAGTAAGTGAGGCTGAGCTTTACAATCCTAGCCTCCAAGGAGAGACTTGGTTTCACCCTTTCCAAGACAGACTGATTTGTTTTCTTGGCAGTCTATGGTATGTTCAAGACTCTTCTTCAGCACCACAAGTCGAAAGCTTCTATTCTTCTTCTGTCATCCTTAGTCATTGTCCAGCTCTCTGAATAAAGCATAACAAGTAATTGAGAAGACTATGGCCTGAGTTAGGCACACCTTTGTATCTAGACTGACATCGTTGCTCTTCAGCACTCTGGAGAGGTCCATGACAGCAGATTTATGTCAATAATAATAATAGTAATTTATGTCATAGTTAATAATAATACGATGAATAATATGATAGCCATTCATAAGTTACTCTCCAACAATGTGTCCAAAAAAAAACATGTAAGAATGAATGACTCTTTCTGTTGATAATATTTTTGTACTAAATTTTTAAGTCATGATTGAAAGTCTAAGCTATAAAACTAAACCTTCTTCAATAAAATATATTCTGACTCCTAAAAAAGAAAAAAACACAGGATGCCTTGTTAACTTTGAAGTTCAGATAAACAGTGAATAATGGTTTAGTATGTGACCCTAATGTTGTAATTATTTGTTGTTTTTCACATTCACCTCCAGTTGGGCCTCCAGTATTTTTTGTTTGCTCCATCTGGCGGTCCTAATTAGTTCCTTTCTCCATTTTTTGTGGTATGTATGCTATTTTTAAAAAAGCAGTGTTAATAGATCCCTTTCTACAGGCTGGTCACTGAGCTTTCAAATTGAGGAATCTTACTGGTGTTGAGGCCAAGGCCACAGCTGGGTGCTATGTTTTCAAGCATACATTCCTGTAGACCTACGACACAGCCAGAGTTCCCTAGGTGGTACCAATGGTTAACACACTTGGCTGTAAGGTTAGAAGTTCAAGTTCATCCAGATGTGCCTCAAAGAAAGGCCTTTTCTGAAAAAAACAGCCATTAAAACCCCCTATGAAACACAATTCTACTCTGACATACACAGGGTCACCACGAGTCATTGTCCACCCAGTGGCAGATGGTGACAGCACAGTCCCCTGCACAAGCCATCTGACTCCTCCAGCTCAGCCAGTGCCCAGCTGATCCTATTACCTCTGCCTCACCTCACTCTCTCAACCCTCAGTCTTCTCAGGGTAAGGGAATTAGACTGATTATGTCAGGATGCCTCTCGTGGACCTTCTTGAAGCCCTTTCAAAGCACAAGAATCTCCCAGGCATGACAATGCTCTGGTGAAAGCCTCTGGGGCATGGACTTGAGGAAGGCCCACCCTCCATAAAGTCTAGAGCAGGCAAGTCTGTGCGGTCACCAGAAGCAGAGACAAGAAAGACTGGTCCCCAGAGTCTTCCAAGAGAATCCGACCCTGCTGACACCCTGATTTTGGACTTCCAGCCCCCAGAACTGGGAGACAATCCATTTCTGTTCTTTAAAGCCACCCACTTGGTGGTCCTTTGTTATGGCACCCCAAGATTTAGCATCCCAAGGATGTGCCCCCTCAAAAGTGAAAAGCAGCCAGAGAGGGCCCCAGACAGAAACAAAGATGCTCATACCACAGTCCTGCAAGCACCAGGCTATCACGGATGTGCCAACTGTCCCTTCTTGCCAAACATCGTGAATAATCCAAATCATATTCGAGTACAGGTCTATTGCTTTATTTGCTCAAATAGTACCATACAAAAATGAGATTCAGATGCCAGCATCAGGAACTCATACAAATACACAGCTTAGAGAACATCATTACAAAGAAAAAACTGTACAAAAGGTTCCTGACCTTCATTTCAAAACTTTATTCTAATCCTTCACATTTTGGTGCCATGTTCCTGAACACTGCCTAAAATAAGTCCATAAATAGCTCCTCTCCATCCCCCTTCCCCCTTTCCAGAAGCAGCAATAAACACGAAATGACTTTCAGAATATGTTTGGTTGAACTTCCCCAAACCTCCTGTGAGCTGAAGGCCAATCTCACCTCAGGCTTTTCTGCACTTGGCTTTGCCCTCCTTACTCCACCAAAAGGTCCTCAATATAGAAATACGATTTCCACCAAGAGTAACAAGATTAAGTTTGCCTCCCAGGTTTTAACACTCTTTCCCCTGTGGTCATGTGCTCCTGGTAATGTCCAAGGGAGTCAGATGTCTGTATGCTTCCCTGCTAAGCCTGTAGGTAGATTGAGAACATGGCCAAGTGCTTACACTGGCAGTGAATCGTGCCATCTGAGTCAAGCTGATAAAAATGTTCATCTGTGTCAAAGGGAGAGCTTCCCTCAACCCACACCTCACCTTTCTGCAAACACAAAAAAGAGCCCCTTCCTCAAGACACTTTCCTGTTGTCAGCTGGAAGACAGCCGCCATAAATCTTTAAATCCACGATATCTAGAACGTGACCAGCCTCCTCAGCTAAAGTGCTTTTGAGCAGTGCATACCTGCACAGCCATCCATAGAGGCCCTGCGCAAATCCTTCTCTCAGTCCCTGAAGTCCACCCAGATTGCGGCTGCCACAAGCAAAGCCACATACATGGAACTCTTTCACAGCCATTTCCTCATTGGCCCTTAACAAACTCCATGAGATGGAAATGATGTGTGGCTCATATCAAGTCCATTTCTCTGGCTGACCTGAGGGACCCAGAGTTGGAAGGGGCCAAGAGACCATCTAATCCAGTGACTTCCCAGTCTGGGTCTGCAATCAGTGCCTACAGAGTTGAGAGGCATCAGTCCATATGAGCATCCAGCACTGCCCGCAGGATGTGTTGGATGTGTATGGTTAAATGCACCTGGATGTTGTGGCCAAAGATTTAAAAATTATTTTTAAAACTGTGGCCCATTTTTTAGTGTCTGGGAAAATGTCAGCAGGCCTTCTACCTGATAATAGGCATACTGTCAGCCACTGTGGATCAAGAATATAGATAGATAGATAGATAGATAGATAGATAGATAGATAGATAGATAGATAGATAGATATAGAGATAGAGATACAGAGATAGAGATGATGAGAGAGAGAGAGAGAGATTCGTAACTCTTTAAAGCAGAAGTGAAAACCAGGAGACTCATCTAAGAACACAAGTCAGTGCTAAGATTGGCTCCAGAATGTGAGTCCTGGCTCCTGCTCTAGTTAGTGTTCGTGCCCAGTGCCTGTCAAGTTAGCTCCCCCATTTCTTCCCTAAGCCCCAATTAGTGTTGTAAGCACTGGTTGCAGAATTCCAAACAAGAATCAAGGACTCCCAAGGAATGCCTGGCACCTTTTCCTGGTTCTCAAGAGGTTTCCCCTTGATCCATTCATCCCTTCATTTGATGAGGGCATAAAGATTGCTGTCTGCTTAGTGTCGTAAATTCAGCCACAGCATGAAGGCACTCACTCACTCCCTACAAACAGTTCCACATGATAGAGCTGTAATGGGTTGAATTGGGTCTAGCAGGTCTTCTAACTCCCAAAGTTCTTTTCACCCAACAGAACTTCTGCCTCTAGCTTCATAAAAGAATGCTTTGTGCTTTCTCAGTCCCAACAGATTCACAAGGTGCATGGCTGTAGAACGGTTATGCCCTCTTGTCTCCCATCAAGTCCCCGGAGCCTTGGATTGGGGCATTAGGAAGTCTTCAGAGTTCCCTCCTGGGTAACATTGCCAACAGCTTGGCCAGTTCAAGAGAATTTGGGTCCAGCTTTCAATCTGGACTTTGGCTTTCAGGGTTCTTGATGTTCTAGAAAGAGAAAAAGAATATAACTTTCAGCCACAGCCTAATTCTTTGCCTTTCTGTTATAAGATGTCCCCATGGCAAGAACTTTACCCAAAATATTCCTCCACTCTGGTAACAAGAGGCTTTCACCCTTCCAATACATCACACTAGCTCTCACCTCGAAGCCTTTACTCAGGCAGTCTCTCCACACACCAAAGGATTCTCCTGGTCCTTTCTTCTCATCTAAAGCTTCCCTGTTCTACAAGGTCAAACTCAATGCCTGCCGCCTCCCTGAAGCCTTCCAAGACCAGCTTGCTTTGTTGACCTCAGCTACCACTCATTTGCATGTAACTGCCATGCAGCTTCATCACTGGTGAGCAGTGTGTCTTTTATATTAACACATGACGTTTCAAAGCTCCACCTGCCACAGAATCACATTGTACCTTGTGCAACCAGGCACATTCTCTCAACTCTTATTGCTGTGGAGTGAGAACTAGCTCCTCAGTGACCCTCCATAGGGTTCCTGAGGCTATAAATCTCATGGGAGAAGAGCTATCTCTGTGGAGCAGCTGGTAGATTTGAACCATCAGGGAGGCATGCTCTTTGGGTTAGTAGCACAATTCCCTACAGATTGTGCCACCAGAGCTCCCTAGGCTAGTTTCTCTTTGAAACTACTAGTTGAATGGATGAGTGAGTGGACAAAAAGGAATGAATATTTGTGATTGTTGTTAGATGCCATTGAGTCAACTATGATTCAGAGTGGCCCCTTTTTATCAGGGCATACCATCAAGTTGGAACTGACCCATAGCTAACCTGTCAGTGGGTTTTCAAAGGCAATGAATTGCATGGGAGGAATATTGTCCATTTCTTCTCCCACAGAGCAGCTGGTGGATTAGAACCATATGCCTTTGGGATTGCAGTGCAGCTTCTAACCACTAGGCCACCAGACCTCCCCTTATGAAAACAGATCTGAGCTTTGCCCTATCCTAAACCATCCTGGCCATCTCTGATATGCTTGAACTCATTGTCACAATTTTTGTGTCATTCTGTCTTGTTCAAGGTCTTCCTCTCTTTCTCTCACCCCTCTACCTGAATGAACAGCTAGTAAAATCAGAAGACTAGGGTTTGGGCTACTGAGTATAGCAGAATTAATATTTCTACAATAACTAGCACAAAGAATTCTGATCACTCTTAAGTTATTACCTAACCCAACCCAGAGGGTAAATTATATGTGATAGACTCATTCTCCAACAGAGAAAAGAGAGGTCTAGGCCACATGACTTCCCACCAGGAAAAGAACCTACCATGAGGCAAAGCATTAGAATAGTGAAAGACAACTATCATGAAGAAAGACCAGCTTTCTTGAGACAAAAGGCTTCTAAAAACAATCCCAGGAGAACAAGACAGAAAATTTCCTTGAGTGATCAAAAACATTGTTGTTTTAAATGTCTGCTTTCCCAGGAGAATGTTTGGAGGTAGGAGTTCTATCATATTTGTTCAGTACTAACAAGCAAAATATGTTATTCCTTTCAAGTCAGATAGTCATTCTTTCAGTGGCTTCTATAGTATTGATCTGAATCAAATCTATAGCTAGTTTTCTTAAGTAAATTTGAAAAGGGTGGAGAATAACTGCTTATCAGAGTCTACCAGAAAATGTGAAAACTTGAAGAGTACTCTCTCTAACAGGAAAAATTCCAGTGTCTCTGGGGAAGGGTAATAATTAGGAATAGCACAAAACCAGTCAGAATGGTGAGGGTGGTGGACAGATAAGCTAGTCTTCAATCAATACAGGGTGAGTGAGGCCAGTGAATCACAGTCCAAAGAGCCTTGTCCTCAACCTTAGTCATCCCTTACTTGACATATAATCTTAATTTTGTTTGTTATTGACTTTTACATCAGTTTAGAATTGAGAAATTGCAAAATCCATTAAATAATGAGGGCAAACTAAAATGAAAGCCATTCCAATATTCTATACGGATATCAAAGAGTATGGAAATAAATAAGCAGAGCCAGATAAACAAAAAACCCAGCCGACTTCCACTGAGTCAATTCCCCCTCCATGGGATTTCCAAGGCTGTCAATCTTTAGGAACGGAGATTGTCCATCTTTCTCCCACCAGCTGGTGGATTCAAACAGCCGACCTTTTGGTTAGCAGCCCAATATGCTACACACTACACCACCAGGCCTCCATATAATGTTAACTATGGAGTAAAGCCATTAGGAGCTTGGAAAAGGATGGTCATTGTGGTTTAGAGTGGTCTCAGAAGACCTTGGATGGCAGAGAACTGTAAGGAGTTCCTACTTGAGGCCCACCGCATCTCTTGTCTCCTAGGCCACAGTACCACACTGTCCCCACCCTCCCTCACCTGCTGGGCCTTCCTGCAGAGAAACTGAGCGTAAGTGTTCTGATTGTAGTGGCCTGGTAGGCCTATGAGCCTGTGGACAGTGTGGCCATTATTGCCAGCAAATACGTTCACCAAGTCCGCAGCAAACTGGTAGCGTCTCTCATCAAGGTTTCTGTTGGGCTCAGGGAGATGGGCCTCCTGATTCTGCAAGGTAATTGCCAACTTTTTGAGGGAGGAGTCCGAGAGCTTGTAAAGAAACTTTTTAAAGCTGGGGTGTCTCCTGATCTGGAAACAGAAAAGCAGGCAGGCCATGAGTACTGATTACAGGCAGTGCCCCCACAGCTGGCTGCCCCTCACCCAAGCCTTGTGCCAGGGTGGGTGCCTCCCTGTCTGGGAATGAGCACCCTTGTTAAATTCCCCCACTGCCCTCAGACTCAGACTGCACCATGCAACATCCAGCTTAAGGCAGCAAGACAAAGTGAAGGGGGGAAGTGCAGGTATAGGGACTCAGAGAACTAATTTATAAATCCCGTTTAGTATGTGTGTGGCCTCTCTGGACCCCTGTCACCATTCCATAAAACAGTAGCCCCAGGGACTGCTGGCTCGATCAGCTCATGGTGACCCCATGTGGACCAGAGCAGAACTGTGCTCCGTAGGGTTTTCAAACACTGGTCTTCTGAAGTAAGGTCACCAGATCTGTTTGCTGATAGGTTTGAGCCACCAACCTTTGGTTAGTGAACAATTGCAAAATTATTTGCACTACCCAGCATCGCTGGTGTGTCTGACTGAGGGAGATGGTTTATCTATTTGATATAGAGTAGATGCTAGATGAGTCTTGGTTCTTATCCTAAACCTCTTCCAGTAAGCTGACTGCTCTTTTTTATTATTATTATGTCATGGTTCAAAATACATTAAGTTAAAAAAAAAAAGCTTCCTGCTCTTGATGCTTAAATGTCTCAGGTAGGGTTTTCTCAGAAGCAGACCTAAGGCAAAGACTTGGATACAGGTAGTTTATTTGTAAAATACTCCTAAGAAACACTGATGGGGAATGAAGACATAGGATGAGCATATAAAACAGTCTCCCAGGGGTCAAAACAGGAGCCTAATCCTACCAGGGCACTCCGAGGAGCCAGAGTAGAATGCAATTCTCAAGGTTATCCCCCTAAGGGCCCAAAAACCCCTTTTCCTAATTTCTGTCAAGTTGGAAACTATTCAGAGTTTACGTCTCAGCTGGTTTTCAGAGGTTGTAAATCACATGGGAGAAGATTGCCCACCTTCCTCCTATGGAGCAGCTGGTGGATTCAAACCAACTACCTTTGGGTTGGCAGCACAACTCCTTATCCACTAGGCCATCAGCACTTACTCAAGGGGCAAAGCAGCTGGGCTATTTGTACAGGTGTCTTGTTTTACGCACTTGGCATTCTCGCTCTTCACAGTTGTGTTTTTGACAGGTTAATGACCCTGGGTGGAGGAAGTCTATCAGCACCAATCTTCCCAAGGCATGTCTCTGTCACATTCTGGTAATTCTCATATTTCAAGCTTTGTCATAACGCTGTTGCACACTGCATAGTGTAAGCATAAATTTTATTGTACTGGGAAGCAAACAAAAAAATCATGTGGTTCGCTTGATTGTGGCTTGGGGTTTATTGCGGTGGTCTATGGCCAAATCCACAGTGGCTCCAGGGTGCACCTGGACACCAACTCCCATCAGCCACCGGTTGAGAGTTATTCACGGAGAAATGTCAATTCTAACCTAGGTGGGGGGCAAAATGCCTCTAGAAGGCAGTGCTCTGGCAAGGAGAGGCAGGTACTGGCAGCTAGAAGTTGGGCTGATGTCTGTAGTTAGGGTAAATGAGATATTAACACTGATCTGTTGGACCAGGGAGCTCCGGTGGTAAGAAGCTGCACTGCAATCCCAAAGGCGCACTGTTCGAATCCACCAGCTATTCCCTGGAAGAATCTCCTTCGGTGTGACTAACTTTGAAAACCCACTGGAGGGTCAGCTATGGGTTGGTTCCAACACCACAGCACACAACAACACAGATATGTGACCTGTACTCGTTCCTGACATCTCTTTAGGTGTCATTCACATGTGCTTTACAGAATAGACTGTGAGTTCTTCCAAGGCAGAGAATCTTCTCTGACAGGCTATCTAGCAGAGAAGGAAAAGCTACAAGCTTAAAAGACTTGGGAAACCACATCAGTGAAACTGTGTGGCCATGAAAGATAAAAAAAGAAAAAGAAAAAAGAGACAGAGCAGAGGCTGGGATCAGAGAGCTGGCAGACCAGGCACACAGGCTGAACGAGGCGTCCAAAGAAGGAGTGGCAGCCACTGGGTTTCAACAGAGGACTTGGGCTGGGGCGGGCCCTGCTGGCAGGGGAGCTACATACAGGAGCATCATGTTATTTTAAACTAACATTGATCTCATCTACTACATGTCTAGCATTTTTTCATACACTCACTAAAATAAACATGGTCAAGTAGGTATCAATCCCCCATTTTCTAAAAAATGCTATGACTCAGAGAAGTTAAGGGTCTGAGAATTTAGCTCAGGATAACTGGGTCAGTCGTGGGTAGAGATGAGGTCCCCAGGGTTGACTTGGAGAGGTCAGAGTGATCCTCACCTGCTCCCCCAACTGGCCATGCATTTGCTGAAGAAGAGCCACCAGCTTCTGGATGATTAACTCTTCTAAGGAAGAGAAAAAAGGATTGAAGGGCTGTTGACTGGAGGTCCCCTAGTTCCCTCTCAGTAATACAATTCTGCAATGACTTGTTCATAGATCAAAGATATGTGGGCTGAGCCCATGGATTAGTCAACCGTGAAAAGCAAAGTCAAGTCTTCCCCTAAACTAGGAGTGGGGAACATGAAAGTTGTGGTTTTGGTTTATTTTCTAGGAACAGAATAGGTCTTTGCATGAATCTGCCAGGTCCCACTCAAATTACTTTCAACCTCACTTGACAGATGGGAGAAACTGAAGCCTTATCCAGGACCAGCCAATCAGATTGCTAGGGGGAAACACGTGACTACTTGGTGAGGCAGGCATACACCATTGACCTGGGTGGAGAGCTTGGTTTACTCATATTTTGCCATTGTAAATATTCTGGAATTCTGTCAACCAGTTCTTAAACTATTGGTGGTTGAAATTGGCCACGGTAGAAATATTTACACCACAGAAATGTGCACATATTTATACCATAGAAATGTGCAAATGCTCAAAATTTTTTTTTCTCCTAAGGAGATTTTCCCCTAGTAATAAGTAGTTATGAGACATAGAGTAAGTCAGAAATTTTATATGAAAAAATCCAATCACACCAAAAATGGGAGTGGGGTGGGAGAGCCAAGTTAAAGCCCACAGAATCAAATAATAGTTCATAATAGAATAGTGGAGATTCTCTACTTTGTCCCAAGAGCTCTAGTTTAAAGGTCAAATCTGTAGTAGGGTCCCCAGGGGACTGGTCAGCTGGGGCATTGGTAACTTCTTTCCTTCCCAAGCCCTCCACATTCCCTTAGATTCAGCCTGTTCCATGCAAACGAGAATCACCCCACAGAGCAAGGGCTGTACTAACTAGATTCAAAGCCTCTGTCCATCTGAGGCTCCCCTTCTGGCTTGTGCCTTCTGGTGTGGGAGGATGGTTCCAAGGAGTCAACTGGCCCTCCTTCTGCAGGCAGCACCTTCTGGAAATCGCCATCCTCCCCATCTGAGGGCAAAAAAGTTGGTGTGAGTGGGGTTTACATCACCTCTGTCTCAAATCCACCAACACACAGCTGGATCTCAGTTCTGATAAGCAGCAGCACAGGCCCAAGAGTGCTCCCGGTTTTACCAGACTCCTTAGTCAACCCCTTCCTTGCCTCCTCGGACCAGCTTCTGAGGAGTTCACAGTCCTCTCTGCCTATCCAGAAATCAAACTCTTTTTTTCCACTAAACTCACCACCCTCCAGAGAGCTGGACTGTTAGAAAAGTAAACGTTTGAGCCAACAGATCCCACAAGGTGAATCCAGCTTCCACTTTCACTCTGTGGGAGTTGATCAAATCACTTAAGACTGTCTGAGCCTCACTTTCTCCATCTGTCAAATGGGAGTAGAAGACTGCTCTCACAGGGTTAAAAAGATAATGTATTTGTAAGTAAACTAGTATAAAATAAAAATTTTATTTTTTTAAAAAAAGAGATCATTTATGTGAGAGTGGCACATCACATAATTGCCAGTTATGGACAATTAAGTCAATTAGGAACAATTCATAATTGTCAGGGGAATCATTGTCTACAGTGGTCCCCCCACTTTGTGGTAGTGAAAAAAAAAAGGGAGAGAGCCATATCTGGTCTCTCTCCTATCCTAGGTCTCTGCATTTGCTTTGTTATCTTTCCAGGTTATTCGGGAACACTTGATAATCACTAATTTAGCACCATATTCGTTTGAGTGTATGGGGAGAGTTGTGGATAGTGGGTACCTCCCACCTGCTCAGAGCAAAAGCCAAGTCGAATGTGACTCACAATGGACCAACCCCTGCCCTGGGCCAACCAGAGGAGGCTCAGTGTTGCCATGGCAACACCACCCGCTCACCGAGGCTGTCGGAGATGGAGGGCCGATTTCCACTGACACACAGTGGCAGAAAGCTGGGCCTCTTAGGTGGTCGAGGGGCCTCGGAGCTGGAAGCATCTGCGGCCCCCATTCTCTTGGCCTCCTTGGAGCTGTACTTCTTATGAGAAAAGGCTCTCCTTAAGCTGGACTTCTTCTCTGTGGATTTCTTTCTGGAGGCTGGACCTGGGTTTTCCACAGCCACCTCTGGCTCCTGGGTTTGAAGTCTCTGTCGCAGGGGTGAGAGAAACTGTTAGGGCCCCTGGCCTTGATATGTGGTGAGGGAGACCAGCATTCCTGAATCAGTTTCACTGCGGGCCAAAGCCTGTGGCCAGACAGAAGAGTAACTGATGCTTGGAGCAGGCGAGAGAAAGACATAGCTCCTGCAGAGCTCAGGGGAAGCTTTGGGAAGAGGGACAGGGCCAGAGCTTTGGAAGAGTGAGGGTGGGGACACAGTATAAGTCGGGCCAGGCACGAGTGTTTGCTGAAGGTCCTCACCTTCTCTGCCCCTTGCTCCTCTGCATCTTGGAGTAGATCACAGATCTTCCGAATGAATTCATCTACAAAAGATTAAAGTGGTGGTTTACATTTTGGTACTTTGGTAGTAGCTTTTCTATGTGGTAATTTCCACTTCCTGTTAAGACCCAGGGGCCCTAGGAAGGCCAGAGTTTGGACAGGACTTCCTACAGCAGCCCTCCTAGGGTGCTAACAGCTTGTGTTTGTTTACCCCACCCCAAGAAAGCCTCAGGGGTGGCTCAAAGGCCAAGCAGGATTCCTGGAAATGCATGTTCACTTCTTCCTCCACCAGTGGGGTCTACAGCATGCCAGGTTAGACATGCCTGGTTTGCGTGAGTCAGGCAGACTGGGCTTCTGCCTCCAAGAGAAGGTACTAGGAGCCATCTGGCAAGGTCTCCTCCTACCTCTCATTCCACACCTCCCTAACCTTCTGCGTAGACAGGGCTTCTTCCCAGGTCCCCTTAAAGTCACAGATCCCAAGAAAAGCAAAGGCCAAAGGAGAATGAGGACTAAGTATTTCATACCCATAGAACTGACAGTGCTTATGTGACCCTTGGCCTGTCTCTGCTTAAGATAATATTATAATAATTCTGACAATAGCCACTATTAGTTTCTCTCCTATAGCTAGTGTGCTGTTTGAATCCTCTTATCAACAATTTACTTAACAATTGAGCTACTTAACAAGAAAAATAATAAATGCAGCTAACACTTATTACCTGCCAAATGTTCTAAATACCTTATAGATATTAACTCGCTTGTTGTTGTTGTTGTTGTTGTTAGGTGCTTTCAAGTAGATTCCAACTCACAGAAACTTTATGTGACAGAGTAGAACGGTCTAGAGGCTATTTCTGGAGTGTAATCTCTGGTGATTTCGCATACTACATGTTACACTATGAACCAAAAGGTCACCAGTTCAAATCTGCCAGCTGCCCCGAGAAAGAAAGATGAGTGGTCCCTCCTGTAAAGCTTTACAGCCTCGGAAACTTGTTGTCGTGTACTACCAAGTCGGAACCGACTCATGGCTGACCCTCCAAGCAAGAGGAGATTGTTCATCAGTCTCCTGTGGGGCAGCTGGTAGAGCTGAATTGTGTGCCTTTGGGATGGCAGCTTAGTTTCTTATCACTAGGCCACCAGAGCTCCCCCTCAGAAACCCTCTAGAGGGTCACTCTGAGTCAGACACAGCTTAATGGGAGTGAGTTTGAGTTTCCTGGTTTGAAATCTTTAGAGAAGCCGGGAACAAGGCCTTTTTCCTGCCGAGTTGTAGGAGGAGGTAGAACCACCAACATTTCACTTAGCACTTGAGCACTTAATTATTACACCGTCAGGTCTCCTTTTAATTCATGTAAAGCCTCGCAGTAATTCAAGGAGGGAATCCTAGTGACTCAGCAGTTAAGTGCCTGACTGGTAAGTGTAAGGTTAGTGGTGCTGTCACCATCCTCTTCATACAAAGGAGAGGCAGTCTACTGCTCTAAAACGTACAGCCTTGGGGACCCTGTGGGGCAGTCCTACTCTACACTAGGAGTTAAGATCAACTCAGCAGCAGTAGGTTTGTTTTTGGAATAACTTGGCAAAGGAGGTCCTGTCCTAACCCCCATGTTACAAAGGAGGAATCCAAGGCCAGAGATATGAAGTGATTTAACCACGTTCACATAGCCCCAAGGGGTCAGTTGTTAGATGCCACTGAGTCAAGTACGACTCATAGCGAGCCTATGAACAGCAGATCTGAACCCTGTCCTATCCTGTGCCGTTTTCATCATCTCTATCTCTGACATGCTTGAGCCCTCTGCTGCAGTCACTGTGTCAATCCATCTTGTTGGAGGTTTTCCTCTCTTTTGCTGACCTTCTATCTTTCCTATTATGTCCTTTTCCAAGGAATAGTCTTGCCTAGCAACATGTTCAAAATACGAGAGACAAAGCTTTGCCATCTTAGACTCCAAGGAGCACTCTGGCTGCAGCTTCTCCAAGATTTATCTGTTTGTTCTTTTGGCAGTCTATGGGATGTTTAGTACTCTTCTCCAACACCAAGAAGTCAAAGCTGTATTTAAACCCAGACCCTAAAGATCACTACAATCTCCTGAGCTCTTGCCATGAGCGATGTTTCCTTATGTTGTCAGCCTCTCCAAAGAAGGTGGTAGTTCTTTTACCAGTTTACAGCTACAGGGCACTGTGAGACAGGGCCTGAGCTGGGGCCACAAGGCTCCCTTCCCAGCTGCTACTGCACGCAGGGGCCAGGTCTGGGCTGGTCCTCATCCCTCTCTGTCTCAGATTCTCTTCTTCTAGGGGAGCCACTAGGTCAAATGTTCTCTGAGGGGTCGCTGAGGAAAAGGCACGGGAGTGTGGGGGGTACTGACTGAATTCCAAGGCTCTGTTTGGCTGCAGCTTCTCTTCAGACCCCTGGTTTCCAGTGAGGGGGTCCAAGGGGCAAGGACTCTTAACATCTTCAGACACGGCCTCTGGGACTGAAGGTTCTTCCAAGTCTGAGAGGCAAGATGAAAGGTGAATGTGTTAATATCTGACACCCTGAAGCTAGCCCCAAAGTGAGTTCCTAGGTTAACCACCCCAAGCCTGCTGTGGGTGGGGAAGGTGATCTGAGGGGCGGGGCTGGGTCTCTGATCTGCTGACCAGACCAAACTGTTTACCTCTCTGTCCTTCCATAGTGCTCTCTGGTTCTGCTTCCTCTCCTGACTCCCCGCCTTTCCACCATTTTTGCCTGGTCTACAAGTAGTTGCCTCACCTACCGCATAATTATATATCCTGACCAGAATCCCCTATCATGAAAGTATCTCCCCTCAAGGCCTGAAACCTCACCACTACGTTCATTCTCTGGTGTCAAGCACTGCCTTTTTCCTAACTCTAAAAATGCAAATTCCCTTATCTGGGGTGACTTGTCAGGCTCTTTCCTCCCGACTTCCAGGATGAAATAGTTCCTGTGAGATTCCTTCTCCCTTGAGCTCTGCCTCCATCACCAATGGGACATGTGATTTTGAACACAACACTTTACCTCATGTGTAAAACATGTCTTCATAAAGAGTCTGTGAGGACAGATTGAGCTACAGATTCACAATAAGGGAGGGTGTGTGTGTGTGTGTGTCTTATTTTACAGCTGAGGGAACTGAGACTTAGAGATGGGGGCGGGCGTAGAAAGCACAGGTCAGCAGTAAAGGGTCCTGCCTTGTGGGCTCCAGCTCTTTCCTGCACACGCTATCCCCACCAGGGTATGCAAGCTGGGGCTATGCACAGACGAGTGTCGTCGGGTCCCTGAGCAGTTTCCATTCCAGGACTGCCTAGACTTCAGGGAGGTTTTGTGTGTGGCGGTGGATAACCTGCTGATATCCAGCTCTTCTCTCCTCCCCAAAGATCTCCCCACACTACTTGGAGCTGAATTAAAAAAGTCAGATCTGGGATGACTAACTCCAGCCCTGAGGAAGGTTCCAGAGCTGGAGGCAGCCTCAGTGTTGCTATGGTAACTGCAGAGCCAGCTCACCAGAGCTGCTGGAGACGGAGGGCCGATGGCCACCACCAACACACAGCGGCAGGAAGCTGGGCCTCTTGGGGGGCCGGGCCTCGGGGGCAGGAGCATCAGCAGGCCCTGCTCTCTTGGGCTCCTCAGATCCAAGCTTCTTATGAGAAAAGGCTCTTCTGAAGCTGGACTTCTTTTCTACAGATTTCCTCTTGAGGACTGGGCCTAGGTTTGGAAGAATCACCATAGGCTGCTGGGTTTTCAGTCTCTGTGGGAAGACAAGAGAAGTTGACTCAGGGCCCATCTTATCTGGATGGACCCTGACCTGAGGAAAAGAGGAAGCAGCTTCAGGAAAACTAGGAAAGCAGCCAAGTGCTAGAGCATGGCCCCAGATGAGGGGAGGTGACTGAGTCCAGAGCCTGGGAGGACTGAGGTCTACCACTGGGGGTGAGATGGGGTTCAAGGGTGAGCAGGGGCTGGAACTGGACCTGGAAGGACAGGCAGAATTTGAGTGAGGAGAATAGCGAACCCCTGGGGGGCTGCATGGATGGTTTACTCCTCACCTCTTCTTCCCACTGGTCTCCCACTCTCTGGAGCAATTCCACTATCATCTGGATAATAGCATCCTCTACAAGAGAAAAAACATGCCTAGTTAGTTGGCCTTTCCAGATGCCCAGAGGACTCTTCCTAAATTACTCTCTTGGACTTCTGAGATCAACTTGGGACTGCAGGATTAGGTAAGAGTTCTCCTTCAATAGTTCCTCAGGCCACAGAAGTTGGGGGAGGGGGGGTGTGGGCAGGCAAGTCCCACGTGGCAGAGACTGGTACTTCTGAGAGAGGGTTGGAAGCAGCTGGAAGAACCATGAGGTAATAAACCAAAGCAGAAGATTCAGGTCAGCTGGGCTTTCAATGTGTACCCCTGTAATTTCTTCTGAACGTCATAATTCTGTTAATGATCTGCTTTGGGTTCAGTAGGCTGGGTGATCTTGAATAAGCTGGTTAATTTCTCTGAGCCTCCATTGTGTCACCTCTTGAAATGTGGGTTGAAATCCTACCTTCCTCAAGAAACTGTGAGCCATCAAACGAAGAGCTGGGCTTGGAAACACTTTGTAAGGCTGATAGTCTGGTTTGCTAGGATAGGGAAAGTGGAGGAGATGTGGCCTCACTCAGGTGAAGAACAAGAGGACATGAGCAGACATGAATCAAACAGCCTGCCATATACTTGCTCAGCCTCACTCCCAAGGTTACGCAGAGAATACACAACAATGCCAACAGTTGTCTTTAGTATCCCAGCCAAACTGCTCAAGGACAATATTCCCAGACAGACCTTGCTAGCTGCCAGCTTACCGTTTACACAGAAAGAGGAACAAATAATGCTGTTCTCAGGCTGCCTGCATTTCGTTTCAGTCTCCATTTCCCTCCTTCAGGGACCTCTGGAAGCCTAGGGAGCTGCACTGCTGACCCAAAGACAAGGGCTTTGAATCCACCAGCGGCCACTTCGGGAGGAAGATGGACAATCTCCTTCCGTGCAATTCACAGCCTCTGAAAACTTGCTAGAGGGTCAGCTATGAGCTGGTTCCTACTCGACAGCAAAGAGTCGCTGTTGTGTTTGTTTTCCTCTCACAGAGAGCTCTGGGGGCAGTCTATAGGGAGTTCCGCTGCTAGCCCAAAAGTGGAGCCTCTGGCGGTTCGAATCCACCAGCGGCTCTGAAGGAAAAAGATCTCATTAATTTAGAGTTTCCAAAAACCCACTAGCAGGTCAGCTTTGGGTCAGTTTCACCTCCACGGCAATGACTCTCCATTTTTTACTTTCCTATTCCTTATAAAGCCATCTTGGCTTTGTTCTTTGACTCAGTTTATCAGCTGACAAAATAACTAAGCAGCCTGAAAGATGCTTGTTAAATAGCTTGGCTATTCTTTGACAGACCCCTAACTCCTTCCCTGCACTTCTTCTGAAAGCATGTCCATTCCAAGCAGGGAACTGGATGAATAGGGAATGATTATTGGCTTGGCTAGGTTCAATGGTGGTATTGTGGATGAATCTAAGAATGCCCTTCGTTTTGGAAGATGCATGCTTAAGCGTTTAAGGATGAAGCCTTGTTTTACCTTTTAAAAAGGTCAACACATATGAAACAAATGAGTGCAACAATGCATGGATGGAAACCCAAAATCTCTGTAAATGTTTATGAAAATTAATAAAATATAATTATAGAAAAAAAAACAACATATGAAACAAATGAGACATTGTGTTAACCATTATTGAATTTAAGTGAAGTACATCAGTATGAATTGAACTACTGTTTCTATTCTTTTGTATATTTTTTATTTCTTTCCCCCTTATTTTCTTTTTAGCCTTTTGTACATTCTTTTTTTTAACTTGAGGTAAAATTTTGAATGGGAAGGGGGAAAAGTTTTTTTTAAATCCTATGGCCCTAAATCTAGTCCCTGGTAGCACAAATAATATGCTCAGTTGTTAAGCAAAAGGTTAGAGGTTCACAGTCACCCAGAGATGCTTCAAGAGAAAGGCCTGGAAACCTGCCTCCCAAAAGTGAGTCACTGAAAATCCCAGAGAGTGTATCATTAACTCCATGGCAACTTGGTTTTTGCTTTGTCTTTTTAGTATAAGATGCATCCCCAGCTCTCATTCTGATTTCTAAGACTCCTTCCTGTGACACTCTAAAATCAATCAGCACGGCCAGAAGCACCAGAAGAGCGGACAGCCGTGTACAGATACTGACAGCAACTGTCCGACGTCTCTGAGTCACTCAGAGCAATTGGGCCCAGCTGGAGGTCACCAACTAGATTCAGACTCACTCTCAGGTTGTAGCTCCTCTTTCCACTGGTGGCCCGAGCACGGGCATGATCCATCCCCAACTCTGGCACTTCCTCCTTCGGTGGACAAAGGCTCATGAAAATCAAGATCATCCTCATCTGGAATAAAGATGAAAGTGAGTAAGTGAGGGCAAGAGGAGAGTCATTGATCAGTGTCTGACCTTGTGAATCAACATGAGAAAACAGCACAGGGGCCAGAGCTGTGGCCACCTTCAGGTCTAACAGAAAAATCAAGACCAAGTTTTCAATTTGAAAAGAATCTGTCTCTCTCCATCCCTCCTCCTCTTTGGGTCTCAGCTACCCATTAAGATCACAGTGAGTTTCTAGTTCTACAGAGAAAAGCTCCGCCTCTCCCGCCATATGCTTGTGGGGCATCTTAGAAATCCATTTGCAGGGTCAGAAAGAACGGGTCCTTGGAGAATGGCATCATTCTTGGAAGGGTGGAGACACAGTGCAGGAGAGGAAGGTCCCAGATGAGATGGATTCACATGGTAACCGGGGTGATGGGATTAGGTGTGAGACTAACTCAGGATAGAGCAGAGTTCAGAGCTGTTGTACATGGGGTCACTATGAATCGCAGGCAACTGGAGGGCACATAACAGGACTGGCGTGAGGGGCAGGGCTTTCCTCTCCTCTGACCTCTGTTTTTCCCTTCCTCCCAGAAGCAGACTCCTCAAATGGGAATATTTCATGACAACTAACACTTACTGAGCACTACTCATATGACCCTTGAGTGCTCGGTACTGCAGTGGTTAAACCCTCAACTGCCAACTGAAAAGACAACAGTTCGAACCCACCAGCTGCTCTGCGGGAGGAAGATGGAGCAGTCTGCTTCTGTAAAAGATGCACAGCCTTGGAAGCCCTATGGGACAGTTCTAATCTGTCTTACAAACTCAACTGTGTGTTGAAACCAACTCAACGGCAATGGTTTTGATTTTTGGTTCAAGTCACATAACCGCTCCATGAGACAGCAATTATTATCTCTATTTTATCAATGTAAACAATAGCAGCTCTAAGAAGAGAGCTGCCAGCCAGTGTGTGGTGGAACTGGGGTTTGAGCTCTAGTTCTCAACTCTTGTGCTATTCTCCTCAAGAGTCCCCCCCACCTCTGTGTTCCCTGTGTTGAGAGTTTTGAGAAGCAAGCTTCGAGCACCCTAGCCCTTGGCGGAAAGGAGGTGTGCAGGAGGGTAACCCTTCATCTGGCATGTGCTTACCCCCGTGAGCTGGGTCATCCTCCTCAGGGTGTCTGGCCTCCTGGCCTGTGGCTTCCTGATCAAGACCTCCCTTCATCTCCTGAGCAACATGCTTCTTGCTGCTAATGTTCTTCTTGCGTCTGGACTTCTTGTCGTGGGATTTCTTCCTAACAGTTGGCTCACGGGAAGGTACAGGGGACTCCACAGAGTGAGAGAAACCTTCCTTCACCTTTGGATTCCTGCTGGCCTTTTCTTTGGGTTCCTCAGGGCTTATCCTCAGGAAGAAGTTGACGAGGGTTTTCAGCCACCCAGACTGGGTCCGCCGTTGGGTCTTGTCCTTCTTGATGTCCTGTGGTAACCTCTGCTCACTGAGGATAAACTCACTGGTCTCCTCTGGACTGAGGGCAGCAATCTTGGTGTCCTGAGCCTCCACAGTCTGAGCTGGGCTCTCAGAACATCTGGACCCATCGCTGGCTGTCCGGCGAAGCACCCTCTTGCAGGGGGCCGTGTGCAGAGAAGGGTGCAGGCTATCCCGTGACTCCAAGTTCTTCCTGGGGCCCTGTGACCTGTCCAGAGACTCGGCTCTCCTGTCGAGCAAAGTCTTCCTCGGGCCCCGAGAATTCTCCATTGCACTACAACCAAAACAAATAGCATTCTTAGAAGAGGCCTCTCAGAAACTGTTAAGATGAACTAATTATTTCCTTGACTGATGGGCACATTCACCTTCACCCATTAACAAGTGTCTCATTAACCTCTCATACTAACCCTTTTCTGCAGTTATTATCTCATTAAAATTCCTCAACAACCCTGACAGGGAGGAGTGAATTGTTATGCCCATTGTACAGACGGCAAACAGAGGCCATGTCCCACATCTCACAGCTGGTCAAAAGCATAGTCAAGACTGGACCCAGCATTGCTAGATGCCCATAGGAAGACAAACTAGGATGTAATGAGAAGATAAGTCAGGAGAGGAGACAGACCCCATGCAAGGGTTTGTTTATGTTTTAATGTTCAAAAAAAGGAGCGCTTAGGTTATAACGAAAACAGCAATACCTGCCACTGATAAACTGCTGTCACATGGTTGCGCTTCCAAAACAGTCAGGGGGAAAGATTCCCGCCCCCCCCCCCGACTTAGTCCATAAGCATCCACTGTGTACCCAGAATTGTGCTCAGTTCTGGTGTCATTCCAGACCACACCAGATGTCACTGAGATGTCATTCTGACTCATGGAGACCCCCCATGTGTCAGAGGAGAATTGGGCTGTGTTGGGTTTTCAATGGGTGGTGTTTCTAAAGCAGGTCAGCAGGTATTTGTAGGTATCTCTGCATGAACCCGAACTTCCAGCCTCTCAGTTAACAGCTGAGGGTGTTAACTGTTTGTACCACCCAAGGACCCCACTTTCCATACTATAGATATCATCATGGACACTAAACCCTATGTGCCAGCAAAGAGAATATCCTGGTCTCTGTCACCCCTCTATCTGCTCTCTTTCATAGCACATGGTCTTAAGTGAGGGTCCATTTAGGTTGCAGATCTATTTTAAGATCAAAGGAAACTAAGCCAAAAATATATGCTGAACGATGCCAAGGTTCCCTGCTTTTTCTGTATGCTCCCGTGGCCAGGAGAAATTGGATGAGGTTGGCAGATAAGCCTTTCAATGACAAAACCAGCTGAACATACCGAGACCTTTTTGTTCAGCTCAGCCCCCGCTTCTGGTCTAGCTTGACTTGAAGGCCCAAAACAAGAAGGACTAGAGCATCTGTACCCAGTTAATGGAAAAAGAGGCAGAGTAATGCTTTAAGAAGCTGTCATTGCTATGGAAACCATTTTCACCACTGGCCACAGTGACCTATCACTTTCAAGGGACATATCGCTACTTCTAATCAAAGCAGCAATATAGCTCCACAAGACACGAATGTACCTTTCTTAAAGAGCATTGGTGGTATAGTGGATAAGCACTTGGCCACTAACCCAAAGATGACAGGTTCAAACCCACCCAGCTGCTCTGTGGGAGAATGATGTGGCAGTCTGCTTCTATAAAGATGTACAGCCTTGGAATCCACGCAGGACAGTTCTACTCTGTCTTACAGGTTTCTATGCATCAGGATCAACCTGATGACAGTCAGTTTGATTTGGGGATTATTTGATGATGACTTTTGAAAAAATCTGCCTTGATATGCCCACCATCTCCCTGAGATAACCAGAGTCCAGAGGAAGATAAGAGGTAAACCCAAAGGTAATTCTGGTGGCCTAGTGGCAAGAAGCTGCACTGCAATCTCAGAGGTCTGCAGTTCAAGTTCACCAGATGCTTTGCTGGAGAAGGAGGGGCAATTTCCTTCTGTACCAGTCAGATCTGATTTGACCAGACACACACAAAAAATAATTTTTTTTAAAAGAGGTAAACCCAGCAGTTGCTGTAGCCCCCAAAATAAGGCAAGATGGCAGGGGCATGCCACCTTCACCATCCAATAATATTTCCCAAGGAAGAGGGTGTTGGGATATGCCACAGCCTCCTAATTCCACCATCCCTGGCCTCTTACCATTCATTCCTCTTCACACCTAACCATGTTTAACACTGTCCTGCTGCCTTCTTTTTGCAACTCCTTCCCCTCTTGTTCTCCATCTGCCTCTCAGATTGCTCCTCCTCTATCTATACTGCCCTAATGATTCTATCGTCAAACATTTGTGACATCCCCTCCCCATGGCTCCAGCCCTGGAGATGGAGAGTTTCGTGATTAGCCAAGGAGGGACTATGCTGCCAACACCCAGAGAAAAACCACTCTGTGGAGCTCCTGCGTGGAGGGTGTGCTCTGTCCGTTCTGGGAGGATCACATTTACATATTAACCAGTTACCATCCAAGTGACTTACTCATCACGCCACCATGTATCAGCATAGAATGGTGCTCTGCCATGTGTTCAATAATTGATATTTCTTACATAGATTATAAATCGTAAATCACAACTTTTTTAAGGTGTCTCAGGGTGAACTCAAACTTCCAGTCTTTTGGTTAACAGCCAAGTGTTAGCCATCTGCACCTTCCCTAACCACAAACTCAAGGAGCAAGGTGGGACAGTTGTAAGGTGTCAGGCTGATAATGTTAAGGGTAGAGGTTCCAATCCACCAGGCACTCTGAGGGAGGAAGATTGGCAGTTTTCCTCTTGTAAAGATTTACAGCCTCAGAAAACTGAGGGAGAGTCGACTAGGAGTGAGTTTGGGTTTAACTATAAATTCTACATATTCTGAAATTAAATGGTTCCAGACATTTTGATCATAGAATTCTGTCTACTTGAAATTCATCAAAACAAGCTTTCCCTTTTCCTTATTGGAGGGATTTGTGAAGGGTTTTTTTAAAAAAATTTCTTTTTCTTTGCCCAGACTAACCCATGCCGTGTGAGCACCTGGGAGCCCGCCCTGCCCAGGACCGACTTCTAGACCAGCAGCCAGCCACACACGCCCCTGCATCACACCAGCTACTCTCATAAACTTGTTTATCACCCTGGCAGCGGGTGAATTTCAGAGCAAAGTCCAAATGAGCTCAGAAATACCCACCTGATTGGCAGACCGCATGACTGCTGATAAGATATAGATTGGTGACGTATTTTAAAACAACAATGAGCAACCAAAAGAAAGAATCACAAAACTGACCTTAAGGTATTATGGACTATGGAACAGGAAATTTGCTTGTTTTTCTGAAGCAAAACATTCTGCCTTGTTTACTTTCTAAATTGTGCACTGACATTATCTATCAACTCGTTTCCAGTGTGCTCAGGAGATTGCTTGATCTAACTGCCCTGGCTCAGGTTTCACATAGGTTTTACCACTCCCCATTCTCACGTCTATAAACTCCACAAAGCAGCAAGTTAACAAATACTACACCACAATATATTTAGTGCCCAAGACAGATTGTGTATGTGGTCACTTGAGGACAGACCCACAGATGCACATGTCACAGAGAAACACGACACAGGACCTGGACACAGACACATTGTTATTGTTGTTATTGTTGGTACCATCAAATAGAGATGACTCATAGCGAGTCAAGAGGTCTGAACCTTGCCCACCCTGCACTGTCTCCATCAAGCTTCAGGCCACTGGTAGAGTCACCATGTCAGTCCATCCTGCTGAGGGTCTCCCTCTCTTTCTCTGACCCTTCACCTTTCCCAGCATGATATCTTTTCACAAGGCCTGGCCCCTCCTGACAGCATGCTTAAAGTGTGTGAGATCAAGTTTCACCATCCTTGCCTCTAAGGAGCACGCTAGTGATACTTCTTCCAAGGCTTGTTCTTTGGACATATGGCATATTCAGTGCTGTTCTCCAGCATGACAATTCAAAGGCATCAATTCTTCTCCTATCATCCTTATTCATTGCCCAAGCATCAGATGCAAAGAAGCAGTTAAAAAAACCATGACTTGTATCAGACGGACCTCATTTGTGCTCTTGAGCACACTGGATAGGTCCATAATTGTTACTAGGTGCTCTTAAGTCAATTTCCAACTCATAGTAACCCCATGTGACAGAGCAGAACAGGGAGTCACTGTGTCTTTCTCCCACAAAGACGCTGGGTGGGTTCAAATGAACAGACAGCTAAGTGCTTAATTGTTGTACCCCAAGCACGCCTTCAAAGACTCATAACACCCTGTGCTTTCCCTATACCAACTGTAAGAAGAGAATTAACACTGAGGCTACCAGTATGGTCAAATGGTTAACATGCTCAGCTACGAACCAAAAGATGGAAGGTTTGATAAGCACCTCAGAAGACAAGCCCTATGATCTACTAAGAAAATCAGCTCTTGTAAACTTTAAGGGGTTGGAATCCATTCAATAGCCACAAGGTAGGCACGGGGTTAGGGGGGCTATATAAGGTCATTGTTTACTGCTTACACTCCCCAGCTAAATTAAAAAAGACCAAACCTGAATTTACTCTGGTGTCATCACTTCTGAGGGATTATCAAGGTTGAAGGAGGAAATGAGTTCTATCCATTGACATTGAGTTGATTCAGACTCACAGCGACTCCACAGAACAGAGTGGAACTGCCCTTAGGGTTTCCAAGGCTGTCATCTTTACAGAACAGGCTGCACTTCTTCCTCTCACAAGGACTCCGTGGATTCAAACTGCCTAACTTTTGGTTAGAAGTCAAGTACTTGACCACTGTGGTGGTTTGAGGAAGGCAGCTCACTTTCTGCTGGGCTGCATGGCATTCAGAGAGACTTCCCCAAAGGGCTAGAGTAGTAATGATGCCTGTTTAAAGACTAAGATATACCTGTTCTAAGCCATGGTAGTCTCAATTGCTTCCTATGCATTGGAAAGTTGGACAATGAATAAGGATAACAGAATTATTGATGCCTTTGAATGATAGTGAAGAAAATGAAATATTGCATATATAGTCAAAAGAACAAACAACTCGGAGCTCTTGTGGCTTAGTGGAGGCAAGGAGCTGTGCTGCAATCCCAAAGGCATGTGGTTCAAATCCACCATCCACCAGATGTGCCACTCCACTGGAGAAGGAGAGGCGATCTCCTGTGCCAGCTGGATCTGATTCAACAGTACAGAACAGGGGAGGGAGGGAGGGGGAGAGAGAGAGAGAGAACAACTCTATGTTGCAGGAAGTGAAACCAGGGTGCTCCT